CCCCCCCGGCGCCCTCCCCCCGGCCGCCGGGGGGAGAGCAGCGAGCCCCAGCTGGGGCTCTGGCCGCTGGGGGGAGAGCCGAGCCCTGGCCAGGGCTCGCCGCCCTCCCTACCGGCGCCCTCCCCCCAGCCACCGGGGGAGAGCGGAGCCCCCGCCGGGGCTCGCCGCCCTCCTCCCAAGGCTCCGGCCACCCTCCCGCTCCCCTCCCCGTGGGGGGGGGCGGCCAGAGGCTTTTTTGCCTGGGGCGGCAAAAAAGCCAGAGCCGGCCCTGCTCTCAAAACTGGAGAAAAACATCTTAGTGGGATTATAGCCCTATAAAATATTTGCTGTTCTGGTGTAGGTAGCTGTATAACTGTTATGACCGTTTTCTACACGAGTCCCTCTGCGCATCTGCTGGAGTGGTCAGTGCGGCAAGCTAGTTTGTTGAGATCAGCTGTTAGTAGTGACAGAGACACACAGGGTTCTCAAAGAGATTTTACGTTTGTTCTTCCTTTGCTGCTTTTATTAATCTAACATAGAAGTCAATTGGAGTGGAACCGTATGGTGTACGGGAAATGTGTACGGTAAACAGAACAGCTAAGTAAACTGGATTCCCACTCTAAATTCTGATGAGCTTCATTGACCAGCTCAACAAAGCCCCATTTTGGTTCTGGAATTCCAGGAGCCTAGGAGCAACATATTAAAGAGATGATGATGATTTTTCACAGGAATTCCCTTCTGCTTTAGCTCTCTTTAATTCCATACAGTGAACATACCTCAAGATTATACTCTGTGACCAAATCCATGGTAAAAGTTTTAATTAATCTGGTAAGATCCACTTTGTTCTGCTTGCCATCTTCAGCCACTTCGTTATGTACAGGTTTTCCCTTGAGTAATAATAAAGCAAAGTTTTTAAAGCAGCCATCTTTATCCTTGACTGTAGCAAGCATGCTGTCATTAATTAAACATATTGTTGTTTTCAAATTTACTTTTTCTTGTCAATAGCAACTAAAATTTCATAACTCTTCTATAATAAATGGCACCGCCAGGTTAGTAACATGGTTGCAGCTGAGTGTCAAGATAAAGCGGACATATTTAATTTACTCCATGCCAATAATCCTAATACACTGTGTATGCACTCTAAATTATAATGCAAGACCCTTTCAGTGTCTAGGCACAATGAAATGGCAAGTGAACCTTTGCTTTAACAATTTCATGGTCTGATTTGTTTTGTAGCCTAATTGTCAATGTTACTTCCGTATAGTTTTGTAGTTGTCATTTTGTTTGCAGAGCGCTTCTTCCCAGTGCCATTTGGGGAAAAGGAAAAAGATCCCTCCCCAAAGTGACGTGCTACAGAAGCACTGAGCATCCACAACAGTCTGTCAGTCCAGCAGAAGTTGTAAGTGCTCAGTGAATTTGAAAATTGAGCCACTGTTCTTTAAGTGACTAAATATGGCTTCAGAAGCCAGAATGCAGCCCCCAGATTTCCATCGTGCGCACCTTCTTAAACACAGCAATGGCGTTCTCTCGGATGCCATAGCTCATAAAAACCTCCTCGCTGGCTGTCACTCCGAAAGGCAGCTCTGGCACATCTCTCGCAGTCTCATAGAAAACTTCCACTGCTCCACCGTGAAGTTCCTGTAGAACAAAAGCAGTGATTTACAATCACCGGCACCCTGTACGGTGCTGGCATGGATGGGAGTTAGGAGCAGACTGAGGCTGGCCTCATGCAGGTCTCTGAGGTGTAGAGGAGGGAGTAAACACTCACACTAGCAGGGCTGGCTGCATGACCTTTTCCAGATAGTGTCTGCTGGGCTGGTGTGGGGCTGATATGGCATTCCCTGATCTCAACGTCTATCCTGCCCCATTCAGCATGGACCTGCCTATTCCTCTGCTCCACCATTGCCCCAAGCAAGTCCTGGCCTTGAGAGGGGCTGTCCAAGAGCGGAAGGAATCATGACAGCACGAGATCCTGACACCACTTCTTCACCCCTTCCACACAGGAACAGTGAAAGTCACACAAAGAGAGTCCCTTCTGTGCAGTAGATCAGACAGGAAGGATCTCTGCTTGATTGAGGACCTATCTATTGACGTGTCTGAATTGTTTTGCCTATGTCTGATGCTTAGATAGGAGGTTCTTCAAGGCAGAAACCTTGTCTCCTAAGCCTGTAGAATAGACAGCATGCTGTAAGCCCCCAATTAATAGTAAATAACAATGATGGAAGGCAACAGTTCCTGCAGCTTCCATTTAATTAGACAATTATTTCATGCTAAATGAATAGTAACTTATATGCTGAGATCTTCTGACACATTCTGGCAGTTGCATTCGGTGAGCAATCTGTGACTAATAGAAGGCCAAATCCGGCTCTTTATTTCTTTTGACAGTGCTTTATTCTATTGGCTTCCACCTGCTGTATTTCTGACATGTCCTAGTGCATGCTGATGATAATCTATAGCCATTTCATTCTCCAAATGAATTCACAAATTCCAATCAAAGAAGTCTGCAGGCACTAACTATCAGCTCAGTCCAGTAACACTATTATACTAGGCCGGATGGTGAGTCCTTTTGTGAGTTGCACCTTAGTTCATGAATGATTTCAATGGGGCTACTTGTGGAGCAAAACTCTAGTTAGGGTGAGCATTTTCACAACTGGCCCATTGTTTTCAATGCATACCCTGCCTCTCCCCCTAAGGTGCTACGGCAGCAACATACTTCAATTGCCCTAACAAGTTGCCCCATCAATAAAAGTTGGAGTATACATTAGGCAGTGGTTCTCAAACTAGGGCCGCCGCTTATTCAGGGAAAGCCCCTGGCGGGCCGGGCCAGTTTGTTTACCTGCCACATCCGCAGGTTCGGCCGATTGCGGCTCCCACTGGCCGCGGTTCGCCGCTCCAGGCCAATGGGGGCTGCAGGAAGGGCTGGCCCCAGAGCGCCAACAATGCCATAAGCCTCTCAAAGGAGAAAGAGAAGGGGTTGAATGATGGCAAGTCTATTGCCCTGTTCTATACCAGCCAGTAGTGCTGGGATGTTCAGCAGAGAGCACTCTCCAAGGGCATAACAAGAGCTACTTTGGCATGGGCTGTACCAGCACTGCTCCAGGACTACCGTCAGGCACTCCTGCTGAGGCCAAAGACCTCTATGCATATACATACAGAGAAAATACCATGGGAGTGAGGCTTTACAGCTACAGTCTAGCCCTACATAAACCCAAGTATTTGCAAGTGTAAAAATGTATACAGGAATAAGTGCATGGTTTATAAAAAAAAACAAAAACAAACAAAAAAAAACCCCTAGCAAACGGTAGGCCTAGTTTCTGAGGCCAACTTTAGGCATCTTTGGAAATATGGTCCTCGGTGACGATGGCAAAAAATGTGGGTCCTGGTCATAGGCAAAACGGCCTTTGACTTTCCATTGAGTTACCTTAAAAAAGCCAATCACTGCCAAATCTTCAGAGTTGATGATAGCTTCAGCTTGGTCAGTGCTGTTGATAACTACAGTGCTGGGTCCTATTTGTCTTCTCACCCAGGTAATAAATGCAGAGGCCTCTCTGACTCCTTTGGAACAAGGAAAGAATTAAAAGGACTGTCAAAGAGAATTACAAAAAGACATCAGTTTTCTAAACAACCAAGATGACAAGAAGTGCACAAGGTTGTTGAGTCTAAGTTCATTTGAACTCCAGGCACCCCTGAACTCTCAGCTATTGGATAATTAAAGGTGGTTTTAAGCATTGAAATTCAAATTCAGATCCCAATCACTTGAACAGGTTCAGGGTATCACAATACAATGTTTGTGGTTGTCATTCTACTTTCTGGGTTCTCTACAAACAACAATTGGGCATGTTGCCAATCAACTGTTCAGTCACAGATTTTATGGGTGATTTGAGGCCCGGGCTCTCACACAAGTAGGAAAGCACGGAGCACAAAGAGTCATGTGGCAGGCGTGTGACTGTACGGCACCCATGAGCTATACAGAAATATCAACCTGTGGTTTAATCCGACATGACTTCAGAGCAATTCCACAGTTTGTTGAGCTAGCTATTGAGTTGAAGTAGGTGTTAGATTTGTACCTCTTGCACAGCAGAAGAGATGGGATAGGTGCTGAGGCATATTAAAATGCTGCTTCAATGTTAGAGCTCAGCTTTTTTGGTTTACAGGCAGGGCCGGCTCTAACTTTTTTGCTGCCCCAAGCAGCAAAAAAAAACCCCGCCCCGCCCCCCCCGCCGAGCGCCGTGCCGCCGGAACTCCCCCCCGAGCGCCGCGCCCCGCGCCGCCCCCCCCGACGAGCGCCGCGCCACCGGAGCCCGCCCCCCCCGCTGAGCGTCGCGCCACCGGAGCGCCCCCGCCCCCCCCCACGGAATGCCGCGCCGCGCTGCCCTCGCCACCCCAAGATTGGCCGCCCCTTACCAGGTGCCGCCCCAAGCATGTGCTTGGTTGCCTGATGCCTGGAGCCGGCCCTGTTTACAGGTGAGAATTAAGGCCCAAATGGTCAAGTCCTTTAATTCTCCATGCTCCCAGCTTTTAGCTACTGGACTCAGCATTGCTAACTCTCACAATTTTATCACAAATATTATGATATATGATGATTTTTTTTCCCCTTAAAGCCCCAGCTCCTTTGGTCAAGAATCTCCGCTTTCACTTAAAAATTAAGTTTCTATCCCTCATGTTTGCAAAAAAAAGTTTAGAAACATGACTCCTAAAGGCTCAAAGGGGGCTTAGGGAGCTGAAAATCCCAGCCTAAAAGAATGCCCCTTTATCTTTTTCAGTATAACCTTCTTTAAGAAGAGGCGCAGATGTACACGAGGGGTCCAGCAAGGAGTGAATCAGAATTGTATATGAAAAAGAGCACTGATATAGTGCCAGCCTGTATGTACTGTGCTATGGTGTAGTCATGCTACATATAATAATATTATTTGTATCTATTTTTAATGAAGCAAAAGCTCTAATCAAGTCTGGATTTCCAGGGATTGTGCATATTCTGAACTAGGGAATGCACAGGCCAAACACTATAGTCTATTTAATATATCTTAATGTACTTTACCTGCAAACTTTAAAATGATTCCATTGCATTACTGGGCTTTGTGAGCTCCCTCTGGTGGGTAATTTCCCAGCTTCAAAATTCCTTCTTAGGTTATAGAATCATATATATACACTGTGTGTGTATGTGTGTGTATACACACACATTCAAAACAGACAAGGTTATTGTTAAAACAGTCCTCTCCAAACCACAGTGCAATTTGTACTTGGAATCCTGTGGGTAGTACAAATGCAAAATAAAAAGTAATTGGGCCACATTCTCAGCAAGTGTAACTCCATTGTATTCAGGCTTATTGTAGTCAATGGGCATGCATGGTAGTTCACTGTAGTCAATGGAGTTATGCCAGCAGAGAATTTGGCTGCTAACTGCATTGCTGGTCAAAGAAGAGCATTTAAATCCTAACTTTGGAAGGCAAGTTCAAATCCTAGTTTGTCTTTATTAAATGCAAACAAGTACACACAGATATGTCTGCATATCTAGCTAAATATACATATAATGTCAAGGGCAGAATCCCTTTACTATCTAATACATTCACTGTCTGAGCATGATATTCTGTCCAGTCAATAATGTAATAAGTCTTTTTTCCATCTGCAATACAATGGATATTATGCACTTCCATCAATCCAAACAACAGTTTACCTTTGCAATCTATAGGATTTTTCCTATTACCATCCACGAAGAACTTCACAGTCGGAAACTCTTGAATGTTAAATTCTTTTTTCAGATCTTTTTGGTCTGTGATATCAACTTTGCCAAATCTGATACCAGGAGCTTCTTTTTTAAGCTGCCCCGCAGCTTTGGCAAATTCTTCAGCCAGAATCTGAGATGGTCCAGATAAAGAAATGTCTGAAAGGGATCAACAAAGAGAAAACCAATCATGTAGTAATGAGTGTTAAGTCTCAAACTCAAAGCCATTAAATCGGGCAATATTTTAAAGGGATAAACAGGGCTGTTGATGAGACACAAGACAATGGAAACCTATCCCATCCAATGAGTCTAAAACAGGAGAGACCTTTTTGATCTATTTTGTTCATTACGAATGATCAATCTCTGCATGTTTATATGTATTTTTGTGTTTGTACCTGTGCATGTGTAGCAAGAAATGTCATTTAAAAGCTCCGATGGGGGGCTAATTTTTTTTTGGGGGGGGGAACAAAATGGAGTCATCTGTGATTGAATATTCTGGCCAGATTTTTAAAAAAGGGAGCCTAAGGGTGGGGTCATTTAATTCATATAAAGTTACTTAAGTCAGGTGATTTTCAAAGCTGCTGAGTACCCAACAGCTCCCGCCAACACAGGTTTTTATAACACAGTTTGTGTGTGTTGGAGCTGTGGGAAGCGGGTTCTAGTCAGCACTCTGCAAGTGTATGTTGTGTTATTATGGAGAAGGGGACAAGAAATGAATTGCCTGTATCCAGCTGCTCTGAACTCAAAGGTATGTATCAGATAAATGCTAAGAGTTCTCAAGTTTTGCAACTTGTGGAAAGGACTTTTAAAAGCAAGTTACTTTAACTTTCTACTGATAAAACTGAGATATGTTATCACCTCATTTGGCTTGCTTTACTATTTAACCCAAAGAGGGGAGTGAAAACTTGAAATACTGATTTCCTTTCAATCCCTGACAGAAACATTTTAGTTTTATCAATATACCTTTCAAGCAGGGACAGATAGTCTGGGTTATTTATAAACCAAATTGTAAATCCAATGGCATGACTGTTTTTTTTAATCTAATGTCTCTTGTACTACCATAGAACTGGAAATAAATACAAGTCTCTACAATTTTCCTAATCAAGACACTGCCTTATATAATAGTACCAAAAAGTGAGTGATCATTTTCATTAGAGCTCTCATAAATGAATAGCAGATAAAATGTTTAATCTAGCTCAGTAATCAGTTACATTTCCCTGCATGATTCATCATCATCGTCATCGTTCTGAGTCCCCACCGTAAATCATTCCTCCATCCAACCAGTGCAATCAGGATCATGAATAGTAATACCCAACAACTTCTTTTTATTATTAGTTATTTGACCTGTACGTGGATTCAGTCCTGTAAGAAAGCTTTGGAATCAATGGCACAAAGCAGTTTATCAGCTGAGGGTCTGGTTACTTGTTTTTATGTGATCTAATGGAGCTCAGGAAAGGCAGTGCTGGTACTCCTGGATTTTAATCCCACCAACGTGCTGTGTTACCTTAGTCATGTCATTCAGCAAAATATTAAAGTATGTGCTTAACTTTAAACATATGCTTACGTCTCACCGAAGTAAGTTGGAGTGTCTGTTGTTGCAAATGGGAGATGCATCAGGCCATTAATTTCTGTGTATCTTGGTTCTCCCAAGTGTAAAATGAGTGTGATATCACCTACCTTCTTTCCGGGGTCAGTCTGGAATGTGCTTTGTTGGGGGTGTGCATGTGCTGATTTCATTCTTCTTTTTAACAATAGTTTTCTAAGTGAGTTTATAAGACCTCCTAGAAGTGTAAGGATCAGACAGTCAACAGTGCTGGCTCCTTCTGAGTCGTAACAGAAAATATTGGGTGATATCTTGGCTTCACCAAAATCAATGAAAACTTTGCCATTGACTTCAGTAGGTCAGGTTTTCACCCAGTGAGTTTATGGCAGGGATGGGCAAACTTTTTGGCCCGAGGACCACATCTGGGAATAGAAATTGTATGGCGGGCCATGAATGCTCACAAAATTGGGGTTGGGGTGCAGGAGGGGGTGAGGGCACCGGCTGTGGGTGCGGGCTCTGGGGTGGGGCTGGGGATGAGGAGTTTGGGGTATAGGAGGGTGCTCTGGGCTGGGACCGAGGGGTTCGGAGGGTGGGAGGGGGATCAGGGCTGGGGCAGGGGGTTGGGGTGCAGGAAGGGGTGCAGGCTCCTGCTGGGGGTGTGGGCTCTGGGGTGGGGTTGGGGATGAGGGATTTGGGGTGCAGGAGGGTGCTCTGGGCTGGGATCAAGGGGTTCGGAGGGCGGGGGGGATCAGGGCTGGGGCAGGGGGTTGGGGCGCGGGGAGAGGCTCAGGGGTGCAGGCTCTGGGCAGCGCTTACCTCAAGTGGCTCCCGGAAGCAGCGGCATGCCCGTTCTCCAGCTCCTGTATGGAAGCGCGGCCAGGTGGCTCTGCGCGCTGCCCTGTCTACAGGCACCACCCCTGCAGCTCCCATTGGCTGCAGTTCCCAGCCAACGAGAGCTGCTGGGGCAGCACTTGGGGCGGGGGCAGCGTGCGGAGCGGAGCCCCCTGGCAGCCCCTACGCATAGGAGCCGGAGAGGGGCCATGCTGCTGCTTCCGCGAGCTGTGTGGAGTGGCACCCGACCCTGCTCCCCAGCTCGAGTGCCGGAGCGGGGCAAGCCCCAGAGCCCGTTCCCCATTGGGAGCTGGAGGGCTGGATTAAAACAGCTGGCGGGCCAAAGTTTGCTCACCCCTGGTTTGTTAAAAATGCTGACTTACAATTCTATTTTCTCAAAACATTAACCTGTTAGATTCTACTAACTTGTTTCTCATGTAAACTATTTTTAACTCAAAGATTCAGAAGCTGTTACAAGCCCATCCATCAGAGCAGCTGCTCCAGGTGCAAATATGCCAAATGAAATTCTTGTCAGGGGAAAAAAAAAAAGTTAGTGGGGCCTAGGTTACCATGGTGGTGAATGCCACAGAACTTTCTAGATGGACGGGACGTCTCTACATAAAATAAATCGGACTAAAAGCAGCAGTGGATCAAACTGTGATCTAATTACCTGTAGAGTTACAGTTTCATCAAATAAAGTAATTTTGATTTTACAGGAGGATAAAATCTATCAGAAAATTCTAACTTTAGTTGCTCTCTCTTTGCTAACTATAAAAATGGTCCTACCAACCTTCCCCCCCCACACACAAATTTTTTAAAATATTTGCCCTCCAAATTAAACTTTGTATGTAGAGTGCCGATCCAAGCACATTTGTTATATTCCAGCTGTAAACTACTGTAAATACGAGTATTTGATAGAAAATCTGACTTACCATGTACATAAATGGCACATCCAAAGTATAAAAAACTTTAGAACAGATGAGGCAATGTTTGCCAAGCACAGGTAGGTTATGCTTTAAAATAGGCACAGAGAAAATTGGTGCATTTTTAGTAACACAGGCTGTGGTAGACATGGAGCTGCTATGTAATCATCTAAGAATCATCTATGAATAATGTGTTCTGGGCAGTGTGGTGCAGTTACTGGGTAGCTACACTGGGTTATTAGAATGTCCTGTATGAATGTGTTGGTCTTGCTTAATAGGGCGCTATTGGAAAAAGAAGCAGGAAAGCAATACAGTAGCAAGTATTAAGCATGCGAGTAGTCCCACTGACCTCAAGACAAGCACATGCTTAAGTTCTTTGCTGAATTGAGGCTTTAATGCTTAAATTAAGGAATAAAATGCTTTTAAATTTAACTTTTAACCAAATTTTTGATACTCTCCCACCGACATAGCGCTGTGCACACCGGCGCTTATGTCCATGTAACTATGTTGCTCAGGGGGTGGTTTATTCACACCCCTGAGCGACATAAATTCTGCCGACATAAGATGTAGCGTAGACATAGCCTGAGGCTAGAACAACTACACCGAAGAAGTGGGTTGTAGCCCACGAAAGCTTATGCTCTAATAAATTTGTTAGTCTCTAAGGTGCCACAAGTACTCCTGTTCTTTTTACACAGATTCCAACGTCAATGGGATTAGGACATGTGCAGAACACAGGGGTAGATGCAGTTGGACAGCCAGTATGTTGGCATAGAGCTTAAGACAGGGTTGGCAAAGGTCACCATTGAAAAACTTCTGGTTGGGGTGACAAGACTGGTAACTACACTGCAAATACCATCTCTATTGCTTATCAACTTACTGAATCAAACACAGCTGTCAGAAAACGAATGACCCTTAAAATGTCATCAGACCAATCATTAGATTTTATTTGGCAGGGGGTGGTCTTCAGCTAAATGTCAATACTTTATTTATTTATTTTTTAATTAAAAAACAGTATTTTGGGATTTTAAAGGACTGACTTGTCTCCTTCGATCATTACTAAATTCCCACTCACCCAGTCTCATCACTGGTTTGTGAGGAGTTCTTCTGATGATCTTTTTAAAATGGACCTGAATCTAAAACACAGCCCTTATCAGTGCAAGTGGATTGTGACAAATTGAGCATGGGCACAGCAGACAGCGGAAATAAAATATCCGGCATCTGAAGCTGAAGACAATTCAGGTTGCTTAGTTCAGGTACAGGAAGAGGAAACAATAGGACATAAAGATACAGTTGTTAAAAGAATCTCTTTTCCTCTTGCTATTCTCATTATTTTCCTGCTGTTCTCTTTTCATGTTGCTAGTCTCATTCTTTCTGACTTTCAGTAAAAATCAAGCATCAATGAGTGACTTTTAAATTGCTTATTTTTACCAAGGGGAACCTTTCACATGCTTATGCAATGTTATGAATCATTTCTTTGTGTGAGGAAAGTGCCTGCAAAGGACGACAGTGGTCACTCTTCTTATCGGTTCAGCTGATTTCCAAAGTTTCTGTCCCTTTAGGAGCTACAGTAAGAACACGGAGATTTCTGAAGTATCCTCATCTTTAGAGCAAATCACACACACGTGCGTGCGCGGTTTGGGGGGTGGTTGCTTGTTTGTTGTGTTTTACCTGGTTTTGCTTCTTTCCAATCCAATGTACAGAAAAGGCCTGAACATTTTTTTTAAAGTATTTAATTCCTGCTTTTCTACATTATAAATTCAAGTCTTGTCGATGTTGTTTTCCTGGGCAGACTCAACTGGAGAACTAGTATGCTTATGACATTGCAGATGTCATGAAAGTAAAACCTGATGAATTGAGAGGGA